GTGAAAATTTGAATGTGTCAATTTCGCGAAGACGTAATTTTAACGAAAAATGATTTCTTACATAATAAATCGGGTTACAGAGCACCGCTCTTTGTATTAGAATTTACGTTGTTTTCGCAAGGATCCTACATATATTTGCTAATTATTAAGCGAATCTCGGCTTTTAGTTCTTTGCTAACTAAAAAACCGTACCCGCTTCTTCCGGTACCAAATAATAATCTCGGTTTTTCCAACGACTAAAGGTTCCCCGCGCCTCTTCTAGCACCTACACGCAGAAGCAGAAACGGAACAATTCCTATTCCCTAAATTGGTTCCATATATACACGACCATCTGTCACACATTTGAATGAAATAAATTCGGCCTAACCGCGGTTATACAAGCTGCATCGCGAGACAAGCGTTCCCGTTCCGACGATCCCGTCAGGACAGTTAACCATCTGTTGCTCTAATTTTATCCAGGCTCGGCACCCCATCGAGGTCGCCCCGATTCTTGCCAATTTACAAAATGTTGGAAACCGCCCGGGGAGTCGCGGGAAAAGTCAGACATGCCTCTTTCCGTGACCTCCGACGCGGTGCACAGTTTTATCGAAATACTTGCCTGAGTTCACCAAGAATGTTCTCGGCCCACATTCGGGCGGACCTGGCAGCTGCAACCACGCCATGCGGAAAACTATCTCACGCCTGTACTCCCGATGGCCCCGAGCAACACCAGCGAAAACTTTTCAATCAAGTTTCTTCGCCCCGCCCCGCCCCGCCCCGCTCCCCTCTCCGCCATCCACGATGTTGCGAGATTTTTATTTTTCCGTTCGTCCGATGGAAACGAACCCTATCCGACCGACGGGACACTGATTCTCAGCCCGTGAAAACGCTCCACGACGAAGTTTTATCGAATTCACGAATTAATTCGCCCCCCGCGCGTCGCCCAGCCATTTTCTGTCGAGCGATTGGGTTTGGATGGGCCAGAGGAAAGAAGTTAGAGGAATGCGGTGGACCGAGGAAACTTTTCCCGAACGTAGGGACGCAGAGTGGACGATGGAATCGGGAACTTAAAATCGAAATTACTTTGAAATGTTTATGCGCGAAAGTTAGGATATACTATCGAAATACAGTGGCGTTACGATACCATTATCGCTTCGATTCCATTCGATGTTGAAATTGGTAATTCTATCGAGCATACGATCGCGACCTTAACGATGTTCTTGATACTTTTTTTTTTTTATCAAACGAAACGTCACGTAACGAATCGTAGATTCATCGTCTAACGGGATCGATATGTACAGCGATGAAATTATTATGAATACGTGGAAAGTTATACACCGTGAAATGGAGTTACTTGCAATAGTTCGTTGGATTCGATGCTTGTTCGATTTTTCTGGTTTACGATGCAGAAGATTTGGTTTGATTTTGGAAAACTTAATTTTTAGCCAATTTTATGTTTCTTTCCCTCGTTAGAGAGAAGAAGTTCCGGAAATTCCGCAATGACTACTTCATTTCGGGTATTGGTTATTTGAGAGTTTTTTTTTCAGTCTCTGAACTTTTCTTTAGAACTAAAAATCGTAAGTGCTTTGGATCGTTGCCGTTTCGGGCAAAATTATTTTTAAAAATATCTGGCTTCAAAAGCCATTTCAACAGCTTTCATCAAATCGCCTAAATAATTCGATACCGAGTAAGTGTCAATTTTTTCACAAAAAAGAGGGCGAAATTCGAATGTTGAAACGCACGGTTTGCGAGTCACCGGGCTATTATTTTCTTCTTTTTAACTTCAACTACGCACAGATAGACGTGGATGGAACTTTTTCATCCCTCTTGTCTTATCGAATCCAGTAGACCGAAGTTAATCGCAGGTGCATCGAAATCGAATTCGGGCCATTATCCTGGCGATGCGCGAATCAATCGGTCGTCAATCGATTGGATAATTCGACCTAGCTTGCCAACAGCCGGGACAGACATTAGGCCCCGTTGTCTGGTGCACTTCGCTGGTTTTTTTAAAGTTGATGATATCGTTCCTTACCGATGAAAGCAGTTGCTAGTATTAAAACAATATAATAATTTTCCTCCGCTAAAAAAATATGGCCAGTCAATACTACATTTATCAGTCTTTGACAACCCACTTTTATCGACATTTCGATTCGTATATAATTAAAACACGATTATATAACATAAAATATAGAATTGAAATCATGAATATTCGAAAGATATTGTGAAAGTAATATCTTATTCCCCACAATATTCCCTTTTAAAGTGTTGTACATATCCGTGATGCAATTATGTTATTTTCGCATGTTACAAAAATGGTTGGATTTTTTAATTTCATTAATGGCACAGCCCTCTGTGCTTTTTAAATTATCACAGAGGCGAATACAATTACGCAAAATGAATTCCGGCAGAATTTCATTTTTATTACTCTCGTTGACTAACAATTCACGATATTATATTAAGCATCAAAGTAGTGTAAACTTCATTAGTAGGAAGCTTGATTCGGTATATTATTTCTCTTTCCCTTCTGTTTATTTCTTTACTCTGCTTTAGATTTCTTTGTGAAGTCTTTTCCCGCGGGTAACGATGCTCATTCATTAAAGCAGAAGAAGCTCGTTTTGTTTCCTTTTTATTTCCCTTCTTTACATATTTATGTAAGTTTTATTTTACCATTTTTTGTACTTTGAATATAGGTCACTTGTTTCCTTACTTAGTCTCGGCTGTAATACACGAAGGAAATGTAAATATGTCAACTAAGTAACAACAAAACTATGTTGATTTAAACTTAGTTAGAAAAAGTATCATTATAAAATATATTAAATTGTGTTGCTAATGCAACACAATGGTACATAAATGATAAAATTGATATTAATGTTTATTGCTAATAACCGAGGAAGTGTCCATATACTTCTAAGTGGGGGTGTTTACGTCCGCCTGTGCAATAAAGGAATAAGCTATTATTTAAGCGAAAAAAAAAAAATCGATTTTTCCATACTTTCAATACAGCTCTTATATTTAATCTGAATTAACGATTGCTTTCCATTTACAGATCAGATGAGCGATGTATGCAAGAAATACTTCATGCGCGATCTCTACAGGAAGATAGACGGGGCTGTTCTCATATCGCAAAATGAGAGGGACCTGGACTGCACCATCACCTTCCAAACGCACAGCATTCTTCAGCGATTCATGCTGCGTTTCGACCAACTGCAACTGGACTGCAACGATCATCTGTACATCTACGATGGCGCGCACGCGGTCAGCAGTTACAAGGTAAGTTCCAGCTTGAACAGCTTTCCTCGGGTGGTTATTCAAACCTCACGAATCCGTCTGTGGAAAGTAAAATCCTGATCTGCATCCAAATTAAGACTGCAAGGTTGGATGTAATATGGTCGGTTAGTCGGAAATTTGCATTCTGGGAAAATACAATTTTAAGCTGGGTCTAGGCACACCGTGGAATGAAACGCTGTTGTGGATGAGGATACTGCTTCGTTAGTCGTTTAGGGCAAAATACCTGTACTGTCTATTGGCTTCGTAACCAAAAATAGAGCGGAGATTTTCCAGACGGTTTGTTGGACAGGTAGAAACTAATTGAATATATTAAAAAATAATCATTGTTCGTTATCACCGTAAGTCAACTTGAAAGAAATTTAATCAAAGAAGTAAATATATAAACTTAAACGTATCATGTCTAATTTCAATTTATGAAATCGACTTGTATAAATTTCGGAAAATCCAGGAATTTTAAATTAACAGAATGTATCATATGTACAAAGCATACAGAAGTTCAAGACGTAGTTATATTTTAATGATAAATAAGAAGTCGGATTAAAAATGTGACGTATAAAAGTGAGATTAGAGAACGAGGTCGCGTAATAAATGAATAATCTCTACTCCTGGCTTGTTGAATATGACTTTTTATTTATTACTGTAGTATAACTACTGTATCTCTAACATCTAGATTTTGCTAAAGAAGATCTAACAATCAGATTAGAACATGTAGAGATTATACATGATTGTACTTGTTTGAACGATCATCGTTTTTATTTCTTAATAAAGTTAACGGGTTCTTCAAGCTCTTTTTTCGCATTTTTTCGATGGAATAGATCAAAAATGCTTGCTCTCGCAATAAAGCACGCCATTACCGAGTGTACCATTATGTGAAAAGACGTTGAAAGCAACGTGCAAAATTTCTCGAGTACTTGAAGTTTTCTTGCATAAATGCAAGTGCAAACGACAGATAGTACATAGGGGAAAGGTTTTTCCAGATTTACGTTCATGGAACTTTTTCCATTTATAGGATGAGTGAAGAATTCTTTTACGGCTATTTTTAGTATCCAAGTATCTTTTAAAAGCATCCGCACTTTGAGCGCATCGAAAATATATTTCACTATTTGTAACTGACAGTGTGACTTTCGCTCGAGAAAGATATAACGAATTGGAATTGTTATATCCAAAAATTAATGTATCAGGCAATCTATGTCGCAAACTGTTAAAATAGTTTGTAAATATTGCTACGACTAATAAAAACTTTTCATCTTTACTCATATTTGTTTTGATCGAACATCTTACGCAAATAGTGCGTTATAGTACAAGCAAGTTACATGAATGACTGTGTAATAGGATGGATAATAATGTTACCGGTTTGCCTCGACCATGAACGAATTTTCGGTCGAGGTAGCATTTAGTCTTGCGTAACACCAGCAGAATCCATTACCATTTGCAGAAATTTTATGCGACGATCGATACGACATTTGTCTAGTTGCCATATTGAAATTTCTTAATGTTATTTTCAATCGTGTTTAATGGCATGAGACTTCTAAAATCTTAATCTTTTCTTTTTCTAAATGTACATTTAGAAAAAGAATGTACAAATGTACATGGTACATTTCATAAATACGTGTATATACGCGTTCCTTTGATTTTGTTTTCATTCATTCATTATCACAAAAAGGGTTAATTTAATTTTTAATGTGCCGACGATAATTCAAGTTAAAGAGTCGAATATATAGACTTAATAAAATGATTCATCCCTTAAGTTTTTGATAATCCATGAAAGTTTTATATAGGTTTTACTCAATTTAACACGTAAATTTTCCTTCTACAATTCTATTTGAAAAAAAAAAAAAAAAAAGACTGAAGTACTCAGGCTATACGCTTCGAATGTTTTCATGCATTGTGAAAATACAAGCCATTTTCACTAGATATGCTTACGTTGGCATAAAAGTTTGGGAAAATTTTCGAGAATCAGTGGCACGTAAGCTAGCGAAAATTGTAGGAATAAGGACGAAAGAGGAGTTTTCAACGAAAATATTCATCTTCTCGTATTCATGCATGAGCGTTTGGTTCACGTGAGGGATACAAAACTAAAAATGTGGCTTATCTGGAGCGACATATTGTATTTAGAAATACAATGGGGACGAAAATCTAGGTCAAAAAGTTGATCATGTTCAAGCATTTGCATTTAAACAGCATAATAATTCATCTGTGGAATGTGTGTTACTTTTCATCATATATTGTTCCATTTTTATGAACATACGAAGTCAATCTCACGAAGCTTTGAAATCAACTTGAAATAATTTGAAAGCTTTCGCTAAAAAAAGAGCGTTTGACTGCCTTTCCGAATAACGAAATTGAAAATTCTTCGATTTTAATTTTATAACATTCGTCATTTGACTTTCGATACAAATAAACATTAAAGAGTTACGAAACAATGAGGATTCGAAATTCTACAAACTTACCGATGTACGCTTATATTTCTTGCAACTATTTACAAATAAATACATTACGAATGCATTTGTTTAAAAGAAAATGCCCAAAAGAAGGCGAACGCTAAATTTTTCAAATTTCATTACGTCATAGTTCTATTTTTAAGATTTCTTCTTTTTATCGTTATTACAATTCTTGTTCTGGCACTGTTGACGAACAAATGGGAAACACAAAGCACACTTTTTGAAAACCGTAACGTTTTCGACACCCTGTGCATCCTCGCACGAAACGGTGGTCTACTCTGAAAGTTCTGCATAACAAGCGAGACTCGGTGGTTTAGTTAACGTTGCCTCTGTTTTGAATTTTCGAAAGTTTGTTATCGAAGATTCTGGCAAAGAGGGTGTTCAAGCATCGAGGTAGGATCTAGTGCAGGAATAGTTTTGAAATTTCTCCAAGACAAACGAAGCTCGGTGGTTTAGTTAGCGTTTCCCGGATTTTGAATTTTAAGAGGATTAATGCTAAATACTCTTAAAAAATTGGACGTTCAAATCGAGACGCCGCGAGTTAGAAAGAAAGCTGGAAGAAAAACGTTTTTATGATTATTAACCATTTAATCGCGAAGGGCGTATATATACGCTCTCGAGATATGGGATCAGAGAAATGTTTGTAATCGTTGCGGACATTACGGGGGTTAGTTTCGAAAATAAAAACTGAGAAATTATAAGTTCGTTGCGAAAATTGAATTTCAGAAAAAAAGGGTCATCTAAGTTTTCAATTTTTTTCCTCTGGAACTAAACGTCGTACGAATAAACTGGTAATATAAAAAGTTTCGTTCTGTCATTCTCTATAAGGCGATACCCTTGTTAAATTCGATTGTTCCACTTGTTGTTTTTCTTTCTTTATGAGAATAACAACAGGATCTTCGTCAGTTCTTAATTTTTATTTTTCAAACTAAACGTCCTGTGAATAAACTGTAAATATAAAAAAAGTTTCGTCTTGCCATACCCTACAAGCTGGTATTTTTTTTTTTTTTTTTAAATTCACACCTCTATTCTTAAAATTTCCAGCAAAAGTCATTCCGTAGTCAAAGGATTCACCGAAATCGTGCTCTTAATGGACGAACGAGACCCAGGTGTTCCATGTTACAAATTGAGTTCTCAGGATTGTTTTCGGAGTTCTAATGGTAAACTGTTATTCACGGGACGATTTTTTGGTATAACTTTATCGAGACAAAGTTTTTCACCCGCTGGAAAGCCGTTCGTAAAGGGTTAATATTCTCTCTATATCGAATTTTGGGAAGTTTGCTGTGAATTCGATTTGCACAACTTGAACGTTGAAGCATAAACTTAAGGGTGGGATGTTCTGAAGGTAGGATAGGTGGGAACCGTATTCGCCCACGCGTGGATTACTCATCTTCGTCCGATTGCTCGGACTTGGAAACAGTTCCGTTGAAAGGGTTCGCTCGTGTAAATAACACTTCTCTAATCGTTCGACGATCGCTGCTACCGGGTAATAATGACTAATGCCAGGGCAGGGAACGCGGCGTCCTTTGTCTTCGATCAACATTTCGAACCGTAATTGCCGCCATCGATCAAAAGATGAAGCACTAACTGCAGGAGGAACCACGTTATTTTTCCCCGATTACCATCAGGGACAATAACGTCGCTGCTGAAGGCGGCTAGTTTCAGTTATGGGAACCATTATAATGTATTCCGTCGTTATAAATTCAGAACATGGCCAGCGCCACCAAGACGCTAGAACCGTGCATCATTAATCAGGATTCGTTTCTTTGACGGGAGAGTGCCTCGTTTGTTCGTTTCTTGGTTCGCCATTTGCGTTTTTGTCGACCGACGGCCGACATTCGATTTGGAAATTAGTCGTAGGTTTCGTCGTTTGTATTCGAGTCGGTGATTCAGAGGACGATGTACCCCTCTGGTAAATTTGTCGTCGACGTGCTCGAAACAGAGCCTGCTGGCTTCCATTTCTACGAATGGTGCAGCAGTTCTCAAACTTTTTGGGAGACCTCCTAAAAGGATTATTTTATTTTTACGAAATATCAGCTTGTAGGGAATGATAAAACCGAATTTGTTTATATCGACAGTTCATTCTTAGGACGTTTTGTTTCAAAGATAAAAATTAATAACTCAAAAGACATACGTCATGAGATCTCGTAGCGGTCTGATCCTGTTGCTGTTGTCTAAAAAAAAAAAATAAAAAAAAAGCGAACAATCGAATTCTAAAAAAATATCACCGTATAAAGTATTACAAAACGAAACTTTTTCATATCGACAGTTTGTTCACACGACCTTTAGTTTTAGACATCAAAATTGAAAATCAAAATTGAAAAACTTAAAAGACGGAATTTTCTGAAATTCAATTTCTATTTTCGAAATTAAGCGTCCTATGAACAAACTGTAAATATAAAAAAGTTTCATCTGATCATCCCCTATAAGCGGATATTTAAAAAAAAGATTGATTTAATGAATATAAACATTTCTCTGAGCCTATTTCTGGATGACGTATATCGTATTCTTCAGATTTTTAGTTAAATTAATACCTCTAAA